AAGTCGGCCGCCCAACCGACTGCGCCACCCAGGCGCCCCTCCCTTATTTATCAAAGTTGATTTTAGCCATTTGTGGAAACTATATAAAAAAGATATTAAAGTCCCTCAAAAACATTCAAGAATTTTGATTGAGGAGTGCCTGGATGGCTCGGTTGGTTAAGCGTTTGACTCTTGGTTTTCAGCTCAGGTCATAATCTCATGGTTCATGAGTTCGAGCCCCCCATCGGGCTCAGTGCGGACAGTGCAAAGCCTGCTTGGGATTTCTCTTTCCCTCTCTCTCTGCCCCTCCCCAGCTTGCTCTCTCTCCCCAAAAAATAGATATAAAAAAATTAAAAAAAATTTTTTTTGATTGAGATTGCATTGTATTTATATATTGATTTGGGGAGAACTGTCATCTTTGTTAAGTGGTAATCTCATGCAAGCCCTGTATGGAGAATTTTGTTTTAATGTTTATTTATTTTGAATTTTTTTAATGTTTATTTTTGAGATAGACAGAATGCAAGTGGGGTTGGGGCAGAGAGAGACTGAGACACAGGATCCGAAGCAGGCTCCAGGCTCTGAACTGTCAGCACAGGGCCCAATGGGTGCTCAAACCCATGAACCGTGAGCTCATGACCTGAGCCGAAGTCAGATGTTTAACTGACTGAGCCACACAGGCTCCCCATGAATGGAGAATATTTTAAAATTTGTTTAGGGGCGCCTGGGTGGCGCAGTCGGTTAAGCGTCCGACTTCAGCCAGGTCACGATCTCGCGGTCTGTGAGTTCGAGCCCCGCGTCAGGCTCTGGGCTGATGGCTCGGAGCCTGGAGCCTGTTTCCGATTCTGTGTCTCCCTCTCTCTCTGCCCCTCCCCCGTTCATGCTCTGTCTCTCTCTGTCCCAAAAATAAATAAAAACGTTGAAAAAAAAATTAAAATAAAAAATAAAATTTGTTTAAAGGACATACAAATTTGAATAAATGAAAACACAAGTCTTGCATAATTTCTACGTGCTTCACTAGTCTTCATGGACATCTTACTTTCTTTTATATTTTCCAAGCTTCACTTACAACGTTGTCTAGGACTTTAGTTAAGTACCACATTAAATAGTGTCAGTGATGCTAGGTGCACAAATTAAGATTCATTTTGGCAGATTGTAACAGAAAATCCAAAGAATAATGGCTTAAACAATGCAGTTCATTTTTTTTCTCATAAAGGTCATCTGCAGATAGGCATTCATTCCTGGCCCAATAAGCAGCCCTTTCTGCTTAGGCATCAAATCGGATGTGTGCTGTAGGCTTTTAAAATATAGCCTTTAATAAAGCAAGAAAATTCTCTAATCTTCGTTTGCCAAGATTGATTGGAAATGAGAATTCAACTTCATAATTACATCCTTTTTTTTCCATCTGCCCGTCAGTTTCATAAATCACATTAAATTACATCCTTGCCGGGGTACCTTGGTGACTCAGTTGGTTGAACGTCTTACTCTTGGTTTCAGCTCAGGTCATGATCTCATGGTTTGTGAGTGAGTTCAAGCCCCGTGTCAGGCTCCTCGCTGACAGCACAGAGCCTGCTTG